GCCTTCCTTTCCAGTTTACTGACTAAGGATTCAATTTCTAAGAGAGAAGTCGCCACAAAAACATTTGTCTTCTCTTTTTCTCATTTACATTCTCTCAAACTCATCCAATACCTGCACTGGGTGCTGTGACCATGAATTCTTCATGGCTTGTATCTGGATGGAGAAGTTGCACCTTTGAATTGGTCACAGCTACCAGGCCAGCTGGTGGACCTTCCAAGTACACCTTTACAGACACCAGAAGCAGTGACAGTGGCAAAGACAGCCTGACATCCACACCCACGTTAGTAGTGACATGCGCAGATACGACAACAGCATTTTATACATGGAACACAACTCATGCTTGTCATCAGAAAATCCAACAGTCACTGCCAATCACACCCCTCAGCCCACCCCAACTCCAGCTGGGGGCCTGGCACCACTCTAGCCATGAGCTCCCAGAGGCAAGTGCACGCACAGCCTCCCTCAGCACCCCTGCGGAGTAAGTTCCAGGACCCCCAAGACACCAGAATCCTCCAGTGTTCAAGCCCCTGAAGTTTCACGGTATAGTATTTGCATAAGCCCAACACATCTTCCTGTGGACTTCCCATCATCCTTTGACTGCTCATAATACCCGACACCATGTAAATGCAGAGTGAATGGTTGCCATCTGTGTTCAGGGAACAATGACCACCAGGTCTGCACATGCTCAGTGCAACCCAGTACTGTCCCCAGTACTTCAGGCTGCAGTTGGCTGAATCCTTAGATGTGGAACCCAAGGATGTGTAGGGCTCAGCCGCATCCCCTTCCTGCCGCTTCCTACCTAAGGACACACCTCACCCAGGGGCAGCAAGAACCAGAGCACCAGAGCACAAACATGACACAGCCTGCCCCAGCTCCTTGGTGCCTGTGCCTCAGAAATCGTACCAGTGAAAAGACAAACTGCTGTTTGTTTAAAGGCAATCATGAGATTTTTTTTGTTACTACAGCTGACAGCATTCCAAATGCAAATGCTTACGCTCTGAGAAAGATGCTGCCACACGTTCTTTTCTAGGGTGTTACTTGAGGATGAGCTCTAGTAGAATAAAGAAGAAAAACAAGAAAGAGGACAAGGCAGGAGCTAGCCGACAGTGGGCGCCCCGAGAGGGGTTAGAAAGGGAGATCCCAGAGACGGCCGTGGCCAGGCCCGCACAGGACCATCGTCTGGCAGCAGCCATGGAGGTCTGGGAAGAAGACATTCAGGAAACGGCATGTCCCGCACTGTGACCTTCTCCTTGAGAATGTGGAAAATAAAGAAGCCTTAAAGAAACCTAAGTCAAGAAGAAAAGAAAAAACATCTAGCAAAAGCAAATAAACAAGAACTGCTGTAAAAGTGCATACCACGTGCTGACGGGGCCTCGTAGACTGACACACACCCAGCCACTGCCAGGGACAAGGGCACTGCTGGTCCCCACAGAGCCCGTCCCACCCTAAACACAGAGGGCTTCACTCTGGGGGAAGGTGAAGACATTAAAGTGCGGACGATGAACACTGGGAAAGAACAGCAAAAGAAAGAGCAAGCGAGCTGAGAGCCTTCAAACAAAAGGAGCAGCTGGCACTGAGGAAGGCTCCACAGGAACGCAGGAGGCGGTATTTAAAACAGCCGCGGTACAAACTGTAGAGAGACCACATGAAGCAAAGTAACCAAATGGAAGAAGGGAGCAGGGAGGTGTGGCGACTGACACAGCCCCTTCATCCAGAGGTTTCTCTTTTTGGGGGATTCACTCTTGAACACAACAATTATTAATTAAAACTATCACATAACACGTTTATTCGCTATCAGAGTTGCGCATAGATTATCCACTCTTTAAAATGAATTTACTAATGGCAACTCTGTTTTTGTTTTACATAATAGGAACGAATCCACAAATAAAATTGATGAAGCAAGAAATAGTAATATCAGCATATCATTTATAGACAAGTAGATACTACCTAACAGGGCAGAAACAGTTAAAACAAGTGCCCTTTGTAGCAGAGTCTCAGCAAGGAGGACGTGGGAACAGAGACTGCTATATTCATTATAAACCATCTGTACTAGTTGATGTTTTTTTTTAGGAGTTTCACTCAATCACTCTGGGTAGAGTGCCATGGCATCATGGCTCACAGCAACCTTAAACTCTTGGGCCCAAGCAATCCTCTTGTGTCAGCCTCTTGAGTAGCTGAGATTATAGGCAGCTGCCACAACGTCTGGCTAGTTTTTCTATTTTTAGTAGAGATGGGGTCTTGCTCTTGCTCAGGCTTGCCTGGAACTCCTAACAATCCACCCAACTTGGCCTCCCAAAGTGCTGGGATGAAGGGGTGAGCCACCACACCCAGCTCATACTAGTTAATTTTTTTAAACAATGGCGTATTATAATTTGGTAAAAATAAAACTACATTTAAAAAAAAATGAAAGCAGAAAGACTTGAAAACTGTCCTCAACTTTCCAATTATAGAGCAACGTGACACGGTGAGAGACACAGGAGAGATGCTAAGGGTCAGAGGCGCACTCTCTGGTGCTGACCAAGCTCCAACTGAGGGCACCGAGTTGGGCTGAGCCTCTGGGTCAGCTTCTGCTTCCCCCGCTGCTCTGAGAGCGTCAAACAACCCGCCTGGCCCTGCACAAGCACACTGAGAATCAGGACACTGATAGTCACCTCTTAAAATTTATGCCACTCACATTTGTGTTGATGTTTATTATTTGGAGGATTTCTGATCCAAGTAACCATTTTCTTGCATTATATTTAATCATTTCTTACCTGATTTTTTTTCTAGACACCAGCAGAATCATTTACCTGCCAATGTCTTTCAGTTCACATATTATATAATGAAAAGTATTTAAATATATAGTAAATTTACAAAGAATAAATATGGCCATCTATGTAAAGAAGAAATGAATCTTTTAAGAGAATAAATCTAATAGGCCACATAAGATTACTCTTTCTACAGTAGATATAAAATAACCAAAATGAACATTAAGATAGTAGCTAGGAGCCAATTTTATCATTTTAATTTCCGCTGTTTATGCAAGAGACCAACTAAACAATAACCAATAATAGCAAGTGTAATAGAAAAACACAAGACTGATCTACACTGTAATTAAAAAGGAATGAAGATAAAAATCAGGACTAATTATAAGCATACGGCATAGCGCTGCTTTGCCACCAACCGGCCGCCTCAGTTAACATTCTTTTTCCTTTGATCTCCTTCATGAGGAATGAGTCAATTAAACATTTTTTTTTTTTTCAAAAAAGATGCATAGAAATCTTTTTTGTCGCACTTAACTAAATAAACAGTGTCTTGGGCTGATTAATCCTTGGCAACATACAGATAATATATACAGTAGCAACTGAGCAGTGCTCAGAGCGCCGGAAAGTAGACACTTGATACATGTGTGCGCTGGGAGGTGGGGACGCTGGCTGCTGCTGGAAGGGGAGAGGGTCCGTATCTAACACGTTTTAATTAACTACGGCGGATATATTGGTCTTTCCCTTAATCACTCTACCACCCATAAATCAGATATAAAAATCAAGCAAGACTCTCTGGCATTTTAATTTACATATTATAAATGTTAAAAAAATTTTTTTACAATATTTATTACTTGATGCAAGAAAAAGTAAATTACCTCTCATTGCTTTGAGTATTTTAGTGCTCATTAGATAAACTATCCCCTGGGTAAACTCAGATGAAAAGCAAGGTAAAAATTTGATATTAAACTTGATCCTTCCCTACACTTATTAGAAAATGCAAGACAAACAAACAAACTTATGGTGCTTAGTTTAATTTTCATGAAGAAAGGGAACTATATGCATCAGTCACTCATGCAATGCTGCATAAGGACTCAATTTACAATTATACAATAGCACACTTAGACAAGTTGACGTTAACTTCTACCAAACAGAATTTCAAAGTTTGTTGCTGATTGTTTTAGCATTATTCTCTGATGAAATGTGAAAAACATAAGAGGCATTAAAATTGAATAGACCCAAAAAGGCTCAAGGAAACATGCTTGAAACCAGTTTTGTTCCTGAACTGAGAATTTCCCGTATTGCAACCAGACAGAATTCATGATCCCCTGGAGGCTGCAGGATATTTTATTCTGACACTCTTCTGTAGGCCACAGGACAGAGGCCTCTTAATTAAAACTGCCTCTTCAATTTGTCTTTAGAATTCACTATTTAATTCAAACATCAAATATTAATTAAAACAACCAAACAAACGTTTCTTCATTGCCCGAGCACTGTGCAGGCCCTCACTCCGTCACCACCAGAGGCGGCTGTTTGGGTTTGTTTTCTATCATTTGCTTGGTGGGCTTTCTAGAAACGGACAATGAGAAAGACGCTAGCGGAACTAACAACTATGGGATTGAGGACACGGGTCCATTTGCCTGAAATAATCTGTCTGCTTCATTTTAAACATTTAGTTCAGAGGTGGAGACTGCTGAGACACAAATCACTGCTACTAATGTTATGACTTAACTAATGTTCAGATTAAAAATGACACTGAGTGGTCAGGTGTGGTGGCTCCCGCCTGTGATCTCAGCACTCTGTGAGGCACAGGCAGGTGGACTGCTTGAGCTCAGGAGTTTGAAACCAGCCTAAGCAAGAGCGAAAGCCTGTCTCTACTAAAAACAGAAAAACTAGCAGGCATGGTGGCAGGTGCCTGCAGTCCCAGCTACTCAGGAGGCTGAGACAAAAGGATTGCTTGAGCCCAGGAGTCTGAGTTTGCTGTGAGCTGTGATGTCACAGCACTCTATCCAGGGTGACAGAGTAAGACTTTGTCTCAAACAAGAAAAAAGCAAAAAGACAATGAGTAGAATACCTTGTGAAAATAAGCCCAAAGCTCGTAGTAGGCCCTCTCCAGTTCTCAGTCCGCCCTCAGCACCCTGAGCGTACCTCCATTCACAGAACATCCAGCAACCCAAACCGACCAACCTCCACCCACCCCTCAGCCCAGGAAGGAAGGAAACGGGGAACCAGCCACGCTCTGGGCACTCCAGGGCTCACCTCCAGCTCCTGCTCCCGCTGAAGCGCGAACTGTTTGAAGGACTTGACGATCAGGCCGGCATTGGAGCAGTCGTACACGAATATGGACGGACTGCCCATCCACGTCTGCAGGTCGTAGATGGACAGTGGGATGTACTGAGTATAGTTCTGCAAAACAGAGTGTGCACATGTTACACGGATATCAGGGAACTGGCCGTCAGTGAGCCAAATGCTCCACACTGACTAACGGCTACTTCACTCCAGCAGTGTTAAACGGGGGAGAGAGTCACACTTTAGCCCCAGAGAGCCCAGTGCTGCCCCGCCCCACCTCCACATACTCACAGGTGTGCCCGCCCCACCCACCCCTACATACTAACGAGTGTACACCACTCACATGGCTGCCCACCTCGCCCCACTCCTACATACTCACAGGTGTGCACCATTCACACAGCTGCCCACCCTACCCAGCCCCACATACTAAGGAGTGTGCACCACTCACACAGCTGCCCACCTCACCCAGCCCCACACACTAAGGAGTGTGCACCACTCACGCCACTGCCCATCCCACCCACTCCCACATACTAAGGAGTGCACCACTCACACAGCTGCCCGCCCCACCCAGCCCCACATACTAACGAGTGTGCACCACTCACACAGCTGCCCACCTCACCCAGCCCCACATACTAAGGAGTGTGCACCACTCACACAGCTGCCCA